CTTTTTTTTTTTTTTTTTTTTGTTTTAAAGGACCCGACAACTAATTTTTTCGGTAACAAATTAACATCATCATCTAGTATAAGTAAAGAAGATAATGGTATAGTTGGAAAATATTTAAAGACTTCTATACCAAAAAAACGCGAACTTGATCATGAAGAGGATTCGAATGAAGAGCAGTTTTTAGATTCAGTTCCAAAAAAGCCAAAACCTACTGGTTATAACTTTGATTTTAGTAAATGGTAAAAAATCGCGTTTTTATTACGTTAATAAACTAAAATAAATTTGAACAATGCTTTAAATTGCAAATATTATGTGTCGAATGAGCATTTGATTATTTCTTATTTATTTCTCTTTAAAATGCTTATTTATTAATTAATCAATAAATTGATTTAAATGTTATAAGAACTTAAAGATTAACTTTGCTAATTTTTTTGTATTTAATGTTATAGCTAATATTAAAATTGGCCTGATATTGAAAATTTGATTTATTATATTAAGTATATAATACTACTGCATATATCTGAAAATAAGCTATTAAATACAAAAATTTTAAAAGTAGTTTATTTTTAAAATATCGATTTTTAAAAAAATTTAACTTTAAAATGTTGTTAAAATTTCCGAATATATATTCTTTTTGATGTTCTAAAAAACTTTTATACATAACATCTTATCATATATATGAATAAATTAGCTAATCGTATTATTTAAAAATCTTAATTATACAAATCTTTATCGTTTATTGATTTGTATGTTATTAATAGGGTTTTGCAAGTGTTTATACTAGTTTTAAACATGTTTAATGTCAAGTATTCAAAGTGTTTAAGCTGTTTATAGCTTTAAATATTTTAGTAATAGAAATAAACATTTTTGTTTAAAAGATTTGAATAAGTTATCTTAATAAAATTTTAAGTAAATTTATTTTATTTGTTTTTGTTTAAAATGTTTAAAATATTCAAAATCTTGTTCAAAAGCTATCTATATATAACACTATATTTTTAGTAAATTGTCACTTAGCATGATATCGGCTAAATGAGATACAGACTCGATAGAATGACATACTAGTAATTTGAAACATGCTCCGATATGCATAAATTAGATCTCGTCCTGCTCAAGCATGAGCTTGCTTAAACATTCCGCTAGCGTCTCCTCCTCCCTTTCATCTATTTTTTCCTCTACAAATATACTCAACTTCCTCAACGCTTCAGTGGGTTCTGTAATAAGAATGTTCAGCCCTTTCGCCTTCGCCTTTGCGGAATGTTTAAGCAAGCTCATGCTTGAGCAGGACGAGATCTAATTTAT